AAGTGTCAGGTGTGGCAGAGTTTCGCAACTTATATTTTTTTAAAAAATTTATTTTTATTAGTCCATATTTGCAGTACATAATGATTACATTCATCATGGGGAGCTGGTACATGTATATAGCATATCTTCTTTTTATTTCTCCCCCCCGCTTTTTTTTTTTTGGTACCAGGGATCAAACTCGGGTCGTTTTGCTTGCAAGGCAGGCGCCAGAGCCACTGAGCTAAATCCCTGGCCCTCCCCTATCTATTCCGTCTGTTTTCTGCTTCCCATGTACAGAAGATCTGTCTCCCTGTTTATTATCTTTTTTTTTTTTTTTGGTACTGGGGATCAAACTCCAGCCCTTGCGAGGCAGGCGGAATAACCACGAAGCCAAATTCCCAGCCCTCCCTGTTACTACTATCTTTTGATTGCCCTTTATAGTTTGGGTTTCTCATATAAGAGAAAACATGCATTTCTTAAGTTGTGTGACTCAGTTGCACTTAACATTATGGTCTCGAAGTGCATCTATTTTCACATGCCTTAGATTTATCCTTTATAATAGAGTGGTACTCTGTTGTGTGTAAATATCACATATTTAATCCGTTCCTCTGTTGATGATCGCTGTTTCCAAGATTTAGCTATTAAGAATTGTGCTTCTGAGCTGGGGATTTAGCTCGGTGGTTCCGCCGCCTGCCTCAAAAGCACAAGGTCCCAAGTTCGATCCCTGGTACCAACCTGTCCCCCCAAAAAAGAAAAAGAATTGTGCTGCTATAAAAAACATGGGTGTGCATGTATGGCTGTAATATGATGACTTTAATTCTTTCAAGAAGATACCTAGAAGGGAAATAACTGGGTCAAATGGAATTTCTTTCTTTTTTTTTTTTTTTTTTTTTTTTTTTGGTTTTTTTGAGACAGGGTCTCACTATGTAGTTGAGACTGCTCTGGAACTCATTATGTAGCCCAGGCTGATCTTGAACTCACAGTGACCTTCCGGCCTCAGCCTCCTGAGTGCTGGGATTACAAGCGTCTGCCACCACACCCAGCGTGGAATCTCAGTTTTAATTTTTTGAGGAATCTCCATGGCGGTTGTACTAGCTTACATACCCATAAACAATGTAGAATGGGTCCTTTTTCCCTACAGTCTCACCAACGTCTGTTAATATTTGATTATTAATGATGGCCATTTTTCTGGAGTAAAATGGAATCTCAGTGTTGTGTTTTGTTTTTGTTTTTTTCTTTTTTGTACCAGGGATCAAACTCAGGTCCTTCTTCCTGGAAGGCAGACAGCAGCATCACTAAGCTAGATCCCTGGCCCTCAGCATTGTTTTAATTTGCATTTCACTTAAAGATGTAAACATTTTTCCGTATATTTATTGGTCATTTGTACTTCTGAGAAGTATCTTTTCTTTTTATTCCTTTTTTTTTTTTTTAAAGACAGGATCTTGCTGTGTAGTCCAGGCTGGTTCTGAACTCACTGTAAAACCCAGACTGACCTTAAGCCATAGGTATCCTCTTGCCTCAGCCTTTCAAGAGTGCTGGCACCACCACGTCCAGCTCTGTTACCTACTTTTTATATTTTAAAATAAATTTTGGGCTGAGGATTTAGCTCAGTGGTGCCTCCCCTGCCTCGCAAGCACAAGGCCCCGAGTTTGATCCCCAGTACCAAAAAATAATAATAATAAAATAAATTTTATTTCTTTCCCTCTTGTTGCCTTTTTATTTATTTATTTGCCTACTTTTTGATGGGTCTTTTATGGGGGAGTCTAATGTTTTTTAGTCTTTTATATATCCTATATATTATTAACCCTCTGAGGTGCAGCTGGTAAATATTTTGCAATTCTGTAAGGTTTTCTCTATACTCTGATGGTTATTTTCTTTGATGTTCAGAAGCTTTCATTTTTTTTTTTTTTTTTTTTTTTTTTTTCACAGAGGTTGTGGTGCACGTCTGTAATCCCAGCACTCAGGAGCCTAAGGAAGTAAAATCACTGTGAGTTCAAGGGCAGCCTGGACTACATAGTGAGTTCAAGGCCAGCCTGAAATACATAGTGAGGTCCTGTCTCAAAAAAATAAATTAAAAAAAAAAAGATGGTTTGCTTTAGTTCTGTGAGAAATGCTAATGATGCTTTGATTGGTAATGCATTAAATTTATATTTCAGTTTTGGTAATGCGACCATTTTGACACTACTGGTTCTGCCTACCTAGGAACAGGGATATCTATTTCTGTTTTCTCTATCTTTCTCTTCCCTTACTCTTCCCCCCTCCTCTCCCCCTTTCCCTTTTTCTTTCTTTTCTTTTATTTTTTTAAATTTATTTACTTATTTTTGAGACAGGGTCTCACTACGTAGAGACTGACCTGGAACTCACTATATAGCCCAGGCTGGTCTCAAACTCACGGTGATCCTCCTGCCTCAGCCTCCCAAGTGCCGGGATTACAGGTGTGCGCCACCACGCCTGGCCTTTTTTTTTTTTTTTTTGGTACCAGGGCTCAAACTTGGGCACCTCGAGCTTGTGAGGCAGGCACAGCACCACTGAGCTAAATCCCCTGCTACTTTGTATTTTTTAAAATCTCAGTTTCACTAATGTCTGCCCTGATCTTTTAATTTCTAAAAAGATACCGTTAAATGTCACCTGGGGGCTCAAATCACCTCAGATGAGACCCAGGAGTGACGACTGTGGTGACCCAAGATGGTTTCTTGGGCAGGGTGGGAGCATGGAAGAAGCAGTAATGAGTGCTTAGGTTCTGGGTGGTTTTTTTTCTTTTGGGTGAGGTGGGCCCAGGGTCTTGGGATACAGTTCAGGCTGGTGTTGAGTTTGCACATAACCCAGGCTGGCTTGAAACGCACAGTCCTCTCGCCTCCGCCTCCTGAGTGCTGGGATTGCACCTGTAATCCGGCCTGGCTCTGCATTCTGGCCGGGTCGAAGGGAGAGTCCCCATGCTTTGTTGACAGATGAGATGTATTTCAGAGAGCGGTGGAATTCAAGGCCAGCCCGAATACCTGGCCAGACCATGCTGAAAAAAAAAGACAAAGACAGAGTGCAATAGCAAATGCCAGTGAGTACAGCTTGGGCAATTTAGTGATTTAGTGAGATGGTGTCTCTAAGTAAAAAGCGGGCTGTGGGGAGACTGGGAATGCAGCTCAGCGCAGAGGCCCTGGGTTCAATCGCAAGGGTGGGGAACAAAAGAGGGAGACAGAGGACTCTTGGTTTTTGGCTTGAGCAACTGAAAGGAAAAGCTATCTTTTGAGATGGAGAAACTGAGGTGGGGCTGGGATAGAACTTTGAGCGCTCTCGACACGTGTGCGGGAGAGGATGGGCGTCTGGACTGGGTCAGAGACAGCCCCAAAGGCTTCTGGGGTGAGCCGTCGGGCTGGGTCCGGAGCCCCGCGTTAGCAGTGTGAAGCTTCAGGCACACTTGCAGCACGGCGGTTCCGTGGGACGAGGAAGGAAAGCAGGAGGGCAGAGGATGCATGAAAACCCTGCGGACTCTGCCTGAGGAGCTCTGTTGCCAAGGGTGGCGAGGAGGAAGCGCCGGGGTTGGCAGGGGAGGACTCTGCCCGAGGAGCCCTGTGAAACGCTGGCGTGGCAGAGAAGGGGTTGCTGCGTGCAAGGAGGCTGGGACAGGCCACGCGTGCAGGAGCAGCCTGGCCCCAGACCTTGTGGTGTGATGGAAAAATACAGCAAATATTAAATTTTTAAAAAAATTTTTGGTACTGGGATCGAATTCCGGCCCTTACACTTTTGAGGCTCGTGGCAACACCACTGAACTAAATCCCCGGCCCCTAATTTACTTGAGAAAGGGAAATATTTTTTTAATCACAAACCTTGGAACTTTTTGGTGAGGGGGGTTTGACACAGGGTCTCACTATGTAGTTGAGACTGACCTGGAACTCACTATGTAGCCCAGGCTGGTGTCGAACTCACAGCGATCCTCCTGCCTCAGCCTCCCGAGTGCTGGGATTACAGAACTTTTTTTTTTGAAGTATAAATTCTGAGGAGGTAGATTTGCAATAGGTCTACTGTGGTAGTGTGGAGAATACGGGTTATAAAAATTTTAGTAACTTGATGTTGAAATACTTAATAAAAATTTAATTTTAGTAATCTATTTGATTTACTTAAAATAAGTGTTCCGTGCACATTTCTTTTAAAAAAAAAAGTAGCAGGAAAAAAGTGCCACCTCCTTTTTTCCCTTTTTTATTTGATTAGTTTGGATGTGTTACAATATGAATATTCCTCCTTCAATGGACATTTACTTTTTTTTTTTTTTTGGTACCAGGGATTGAACTCGGGTCTTTGCACTTGCAAGACAGGCCACCAAACCACTGAGCTAAATCCCCGGCCTGACATTTGCTTTTTAAAAATGTTTTTGTATGGGGATCAAACTCAGGACCTTGTGCTTGCGAAGCAGGCAGTGGCACCACTGAGCTAAGTCCCGGCCTAGTTTTTCATTTTTATTAGTCCATGTTTGAAGCACATAATGGTCACATCCATTGTGGGGGTTTGGCTCGTGCACAGAACACATCTCAGTTCCTTCCCCCAGCCCTTTCCTCCACCGACCCCCCCTTATCTTGCCAGCATCAAATTCATTTACTTTTCCTCTAAGTGCTTATGAAGTTAATCATACATACAGATTCACAGCGTGGCTAATGGGCCAAAACAGGACATTTAATTGCATGCCTTCAAAAGCATCATCTGTGTAGCAGACGTAACGCTAAATGCTCTGGTTATATTGTCGTGAACAAAACAGTTGGGTTTTTACGGTGTTCACAGTCTTAACGCAAGAAAAGACACAAACCAAACCAAACCAAACAGCATCAGGCTAGTTCATAGTTTTCTCTATAGTAAGGCTCACTGAACATTCTTGGATTTTTTTTTTTTTTTTTTTTTTTTTTTTTTCTGTATCAGACGTTTCTTTTTTGAGTATATTAGTCTCTCAAATATCTTTCCTAGTGGGAACTTAGACTCATAAAAATCAGCCTTTCCGGAAAGATGGAAACAGCTTTTGTATGTAGGGAGAGGAGAGGACATAAGGGAGGGAATGGGATAAAATAAATTTTATTTTTTAAAATATCAGTCCTTAGATACTTGTTTTTTTTTGGTACTGGGGATCGAACTCAGGACTCTGTGCCTGGCGAGCAGGGACGGTGTTGCTGAGCTAAGTCCCTGGCCCCACTTCAGATACTCTAATCTCCCAGTATTATCCCCCCAACTTTTTTTTTTTTTTTTTTTTTTTTTTT